TAGCAAAACAAATCTTACAAAGGCCAAAAATGTCACTGCAAACCTAACTTGCATGAAAATGTAATAAAATGTCTAAAATATCTGATATCTTACTACATCTCACAGCCATTACAAATGTTTTTCCATTTGTTTGCTTTGGGAATGCAAATGAGGGTGAATGCAAATTGGTCAACCTCTAGATTTGGCTAAATCCCAAGGAGAAAACTTGCTTGAGAAAGAAGCAAGGATCGGAGTTTGGCAAACATCATCAACAAGCATACAGAATTGTACGTTCTGCTTTATACAACTCTAATCAATACACGGATGGATTTAACTAGAGAATGATCGACCATAGAGCAATGAGCTGTCACAATGTGCTCCAGAGCCCATTGATTTCCAACTAGGGTGGTTTGGTATTATCCTAACCTGAAATTCCCCACATACTTCTCTTTACAAACTTTATGGACAGAAAATATGAAGTTCCTTTAAGATTAATGTCATCTAGTACAGCCAACTGGGTGTGTTCTCAGACTGATGTCTGTGGTGCCTGATATCAGTTCACTGATCACCCCTTGTGGGGTTTGAATCTGCAACCTTTTGGTCACCAGCCCAGCTATTTAACCATCAAGCACCTTGCAAAATATTACCACAGAATTCAATAGCTTAGGCCAAAATACCATAGTTACTACAATTAATTGCTTCGATAAAATTTGCACACAAATTTGCCATCAAAAAATTTAATTCAACAAAAAGAGTGTCTTAATCTGTTTGAAGGAACCTGCATATTAATTAATTAATTATACAACAGTTCTGGTCCTTATTCTAATTTAGTCAATATTGAGGCATTTCATGGTTATTTGCATCACTCCATTTGACAGTGTTCATGGAGTTTCAGAGAACAGCATGGCTGAATTCATAAAGCATTAGGCGAAATGGACCCAAATAACGTATAACTTGCAGAAAAAATTACGAAGTGTATGTGCATCCGATGGACACTTTACAATCCCGAGGCCAAAGAAAAATGTGAATTGTTAGGAAGTAATGAACGCATGATGAATGTATTACGTCCGGATTTCATTTATACTATTCTCATCGATACTATATAAAATGCACTTCTTTAACAGTTGAAAAGTATGTTCTTTATTAAATGTAGTAGCACTTACTCAGTATTTGATTTCGGACGTTGCAAGCGTTTTATTTTACTCAGCACTCACTCAGAGTGGGTTTCTCTCACTAGAGCGTGTCAAATTAAAAACCCTGAGCTGGAGTGGATTGATTATAGAACAATTTGAGTGAGGAGAAAATCTCTGCAGATCCGTTCCACATGTACACACTGCTCCAGACCAGATTTTACACCCGATGATGCTTGATGAATGGCAAAGTTTTTCAGTTTCTTATAGAACTAACAAACTAAAAGCCCAAATTTAGTCTTAAACCGTAAATTGCTTGATATGAATAACTTTAAATTTCATTAAACTGGTGTATAAAATTTGCACACACAATTGTGATGTAGTACTGAATTTAAGAAACATTAGCTTCTTGCTCGTATGATATAGCATAAATGAATTAATCTCAGCGACGAATTTACTCACCTTTGCCATTTTGCCAAGCCGTGTACCAGGACAGACTGAGAAACGACGTGAAGAAAATAATCGCAGTGGCAACAGTTCCATGTCTGAGCCTCATCTCATTTCAGCGCCTCCCCGTGCAGCTGCCTCTGGTCCTCCTGATCCAGGCGTGCATACGCGCTTCAGGGGAGCGGACAGGAGCTGACGGGGACCCGGATCATCTGCTGTCTGCGCCGCGGTCCTCCTCCTCCTCCCGGTCGCTGCTGGAGTCACGAGGCAGCCCAGCGGAACTGATGCATTTCCAGAGAAAGATGTGCAATCCTCATGCCTGCCGTTACTGGAAGAGATCATGATTAGATAAAAAATAAATGAATAAATAAATATAGATAGGCACAGAAACCGACATGAAATCATATTGTTTTGGTTCCGTTTTTTTTTTTTTTGTGCGGTCCGCATTGACTACAACATAATTAAACAAATAACGTAGCTGTTTAAATATGTATGCAACCTTATTTCTAAGGACATGAAGCACCAAGAGACATACAGAAATACTGCAGAGGATAATTCATTTAGGAAGGGGCTGACTGGGTAAAATAAAACACTGAATTGTTAAAAACAGCTATATAATTCGGGGCTGTGAAATAAACAGAGTTGACTACCTGTCGGAGGACCCCAAAATATGCCAGACAGGCATGAGCAACAACCTCAAGTTCAACACTTCTTACCTTTCAGCCTGTTATTGAACAGAGAACCGGCGCAGCTCGATCTCGTCAAAACTATCCAGTCAAAAACCGAGCAAAAACACGTTTTGTGATGTTCATTAAAATAGCAAATTTGACGGACAGTCCTTCCAGAGTCGTCAACGGTGATGTGATCTCTCAATCAAGCTTTGTTGAAGACACACACACTCACCCAGAACTATGATTGGCTGGAGTCATCAGACCCCGCCCATCGCTGACGTTGATTGGCTGGAGTCAGCGCGCAGCTTCTATCTGCCGCCATACGGCGGACTGAACCCATTGCACACTCACTCAGTAAAATAGAGATCATTTTTGCAACACCTTTCGCAATTCTGTTTAAAGTATTGGGTGTCCATAAATTCCGGCTGAAATACTCTTCCATTGTCAAAGTACCAGTCCAAAGTGCAAGTATTCATCAACAAGCTCTCATTGCATGGAGACTGACATGTACTGTACATATTTTTCTATGAAATACTATATTTGATATCAGTGTTGGGAAGGTTACTTTGGAAATGTAATAGGTTACAGATTACAAGTTACCCTATCTAAAATGTAATAAGTAGTATAACTATTTCAATTACTTTACTAAAGTAATGTAACTGATCACATTTGATTACTTTTTATTACTTCTCGAAATTTCTAACTGTTAATCATTTTCAAACATATAAACCAGCCAGGGTTAATTTTACAGTACTCAACACTGATTAGTCCTTCATCACTTGAATTAAGATTATAATAATTTAATTTTAAAGCACAGCTAACACAAAATAAGACTTTCTTTGAGGTCATTCTGAGGATAAGTACAGATTTAAAACCATAAGAAACGGTAGCTATGATACTGTTTTTTAAATAAAATCTTTGCATACAGTAGTTATAACAGGAAACACTGGCATCTTGGGGAAAAAAAACAGTTATCTTAAAAAATAAAGCATATGCATAAATCCAAATAGTAAATAAAGCAGTTATCGAATAAGCATGTCATATTCTGTGTCCTAAACTCCTGAAACACTGGTGTTTCATATTTTACAGCAGTCACTGCAATTTATGAATCTATTAAATCTGTATGTGGGTGTGTGTGAAAAAAATCAGACGTAACCCCCTTTGTAATTATTAACATTTTCATAAGTAACTGTAATTTAATTACACATTTTTTATCAGTAACTGTAACTGATTACAATTACATTTATTTTGTAATTAAATTACGTAATTTAGTAAGGCTACATGTAACTAGTTACTCCCCAACACTGTTTGGAATAAGAGTAGTCAGTCATTAAATTATTTTAAATTCACCTTTAAAAGAAAGTACAGAAATAGTTTTACCACTGGGTGAAAGTGGTATAGGCCTAATGATTTATTTAGATTTTTATGTGGTTTATTATTAATATTACAAGGAAAGTTACATACATAAAGAAATTATTACTCCCCAACACTGTTTGGAATAAGAGTAGTCAGTCATTAAATTATTTTAAATTCACCTTTAAAAGAAAGTACAGAAATAGTTTTACCACTGGGTGAAAGTGGTATAGGCCTAATGATTTATTTCGATTTTTATGTGGTTATTAATATTACAAGGAAAGTTACATACATAAAGAAATTACGATGTTTCTAATTTTCTATTGCTTTAAACCATACTGTTTGTTTGTTTTTGTATAGATGTAAAAGCAAAAGACTATTACAACAATATAACATTTTATAATGTGAATGTACATTTCTCTTTAGTGCATAATTATGCATAATACAAATAAATAAAATAATTAATCATTTGCACTGAAAACACAGCTCACGCAAATTTTAACAAAGGCTGGATATAGATTTTTATTTTTATTAAAAAGGTTTTCCTATCACATCAATGCTTATTTTTCCCCAGTACAGTAAATGTAAAAGCTTTCCATTTCCCTGAGAGTACTTCTACTACTCATATAATTATCATACTAATTTGGGACAAAAAAAAGTCATCTGCCATATTTAGATGTATTTAGATGTGCGTGTATGCTGTCTGAATGCAGGCGCCAGAGGGAATGCACATTTAATGAATAATTGATTGGCTTTTCTGACCTTCACTGTCAGATAGCTCGTGGGCCTAACCCTTTATTGTATGCAAACATCTGTCATATCTTTTCATTAAATTTCCCCTAATCCTGATATTTAAATATAGTGCCATTAAAGTGGTATTACTGCAACCCATATGAATTGCTTTTGTCTTTCCTGGTTTTTGCCTTTCATCTTCATTTGACATAGTCATCTGGATTTGAAGTCCACTCCACAGACTGAGCTCTTTCCCCCAATCTATTTGTATTTATATGCTCTTCTCTTCTATTTCAACATTGTTTACAGCCAGCAATTCAGTCATACCGTCAAGCAGTACTACTTTGTGATGCCTATGCGATTATTTTTATTCACTGGTGACTCACATTGAAAGCTTCCTTTTGCCTCTTATACGTCTCACAGAAATGTTTGGATTACAAGAACTCGTACAGCTGAAGATAAAGCTGAAATCATTAAAATGGAGATGATTAATTATAACCTGCACAGACCATTTTTAATTTTACTTGAGCCAGATACCACGTTACATAAGACACTTTTGCTGAAGTCTCTTGGCAATACTATTTTAAGCTTAATTCTTTATTACATAATCATATTACTCCAATCAATCAATTTGTTCATTTACATTAAAAGACTAAAACGCCAACCACAAAACAGCAATGACTACTCTTGCCACACAATATGTATTTTTTATATTTTTATTTTAATTGCGCAGCACATGTATACCATTGTGAAGAGGTAATGCAAGGCACAAACAGATATTGGAGATATTTCATTAAGGTGTCAATTACATTGTAATTGCGTAAGGTAGTGTAACATATGATGTCATGTACTGTACCGTAAGTCGCTGTCCTTGAGAAGTATAAATGCAGACCTGAAACTGAACTTGAAAAGCATTAGATGCCATAAATACCAATGAAAAACTCTCTTTTGCACACACATTTCAGCTGTTAATGAAATGTCAGACCTTCAATACAGTAAAGTGGGTTTCAGAGAAAACAGGCAAGAAGTCTACAACTATTTAATATATACCATTTCTTTGTGTACTAAAGTATGAAGGCCTGTGGTAGATTTATTTAGCATGAGTGATTTGTTTATTTATAATGAATGAATAGCTTTCCTTTCAATGCAGTGTCTACATGTGATAAAGATCTCCAACCTTAAGTAACTGTGAAATTGTTTTATAGATAATGTTATGCTTCCTTTAACATAATTTCTACATTCAATAAATCCTTAGGAATATGTTCAGAGGCACTGAACCGGCATCATGGCCAGAAAAAAAAAAACACTAGTTGAAAGTAGTTTGTAACAAAAACATAACCACCTTCTGTACACAATCAGGTCAATTCTGCTTGTACCGTTTTCACTATAGGATGTTGCTCTTTTTTCTCAGAAAGGCGTCGCTTTGAAATACTCCTCAAGTGGTATAACAGAGACTCCTCCAACCCAGTCCTGCAGCCAAACCTGCTGCAAAACCAGCTTCATGAAAAACCAATTATGTCCAGGGGGCCACTTCTTCATGACAGGATGCCTAAACAAAGCACACACCAAAACTGACACATATATTTATTTGGAATATTGCTTACCCGATACTTTCTCAAAAAGGATCAGAACTGTCATTGGGGTTGTACCTTTTCAAAAGATACTAATATGCATTATGCACTAATAATATGAAGGTTTAAAATACTTATATTTACATTTATGATCCTAATATGTACTTTTCAGGGAAAAATAAGATATAAATTATTAGTTGTTGCACCTTAGGGTATTGCCCCAGAGACAGCTTTGCATCTTTTTCAGAGAGAAAAATCTATTGGTATATGTAAATTATTCTAATGCAGAGGCAAGTTTCAGACTAGACTGTTTGTTTATTAGCAATACATTTCAGCTATAAGTATATGCACATTTTAGTTGCATCAGATACAAAAAGCAGCATATAAATAGAGAACAGCCAAGACAATAAAGACAATATTAAGCAAACATAGGCAAAGATCGCTAATCATACTTTACCAACAGACACAAACGAACAAAGACCTTATGTTCAACATTAAAAGTATGAAGTGTGTTTAGCTTGCGGTCACTGAAATAAAAATGTGTGCATGATTTATAATTTGCATAATTACCTGGAGAACATGGCTTCTTTGGCAAAGTCAAGCTCTTCTGGTCCCACCTCCACCATTTTACCAGTCAAAGTGAGTCTAGCACACCTGGGGTCCTCAGGGTCATAAACCTGCTTCCTGTCACAGGAAAATGTAGTCGGAAGACAGAATGCTTTAGATGATCATTATACAATGATCTCTGTCAAAGATATTTTTGTTTTGATATGTAAACATGACTTAAATGTAAAGGCTTCTCACTCCAGTTATTTCAGAGACATACCTGCAGAAATCTCCCTCTGCCTCAGAAAACGTTAAGGAGGCAAAAGGGAAGCTGCGAAGATCCATTACAGTGTTGTCCATCGGTGTCACATAAAAATAAGGAACGCCAGTGCTGTTGTCAGCTGGACCGTCGCTTACAGAGAAAACGTTTCCAAAAGGAAGTCCTTTAATCTAAAAAGATGACGGGGAAAGAAAACAGGCTAAATTAAAGACATTTCATACATGCCTGTAATAATAAAATAAAAAAAATGTATGTACTTGATTAGTGAGTGATAATGACTGGCTGAATGTACCGTACTTTATTCCTTAAGATTGTAATACACTTAATACAGTGGTTCTCAACCTTTGTCCGCAACAATATTCCCATGACTTCTTTAAGTCATACATGATTTACTGGATAAGGAGTTTTTCCAAAGGATTTTATTCACAGTTTCTTCCTGATAAAGTATTTTTAGAGTTTGGCATAACTATAAAAAAATTTACATTTGTTATAAAAAAGCCAATGGTTTAAGATTTAATCATTTACGTGACTTTTCCAGGTCTAGAATCACTATTAAAATTAGGCTACCTCATATATTATCCAGGTTTTCCAAGACAGCAAGAACATGTGGTCAGCATAATTAACAACTAGTTTGACTAAGTAGTTAAACAAGTGGTAATCAATCTAATTTCAAATCTTCCCAACACTGATATTAAAATCAATCTGGTAGTCTAAGCAGTTTATGCAGCCAGCCACTGGATCTTCAAAGAAAAATAGCAGTTGTTGAAGAGGTTAATTAAAATTAATATCTTGACTGATTTGTAATGTTTATTTTAAATAATTTAAGTCATCTTGAGGTCCTTAAAAGTCTGCTGAGGCCCCCTGGTGGACTCCCTTGTTGAGAACTGAAAAAATAGATCAAAGCTGCAAGTGCACTTTGCAGGAAAGTAGATTAAATCCAACCTAGTAAACAAAGCAGCACCTGCTCCTGTGTGGAGATGGTAGCCAGGTGACCCCAGTCGCTGTAGTGCGCCATGTATCGCGCTACTTTCGCAGTCTCCTCGTGCGGCGGAGGCGCAGCGACGCTAGACGGCACCTTCACCTCCTCCATCCGGTACGAAAACACACGGGACGCGGAGGACACGTCCTCGCTTTTCGATATCTGCTCGGGTTTCTTCTCTGAAGCGTCCCGGTACACAGAGGACGGATAGGCTGGTTTCCAGATCCCGATATTATCGACGAGCACAGCGGGCGCCTCGTCGGAGTGCGTGTCCAGCTCTTCCTCCTCCGCCGCATCACCGGCGACAGCCCACGACACCGCGCTCCGGATCGTGTAACTCTCGCCGACACACAGCAGCGTCGTAAGTACAGAGACGAGATGAAGCAGCAGCATTGCATTCACATTGACTCACGCTGCGCCCTTTCAAACTGTATGTTTATTTCGCCACCATGGGTATGGCGTTACATGATAGTGGCCTGAAACTTTGTTGCGTCTGAAACAGCGACACCGGCTGGACCGCCTGAGAACCGCAGCGGGTGACCTTCATATCTGCTGTTACAATTACCCCACTGTAAACTAAACATCGTTTCCACAAAAACACTGGGGTAATTTGATATTCCAATAGTCGTCTTATGAGATAAATTTGTCAGTAAAATGTACATAAAAATCACATAAAGTCAATATTGTTAAGACAATAAATATAGAATAAACGGGATTTTTTGTATTGATTGTAATCTGTCAATACCAAAAATTACCATGGTATCAAGAATTTGCCAATTTGTCATACCAAATGTGGTATTTTTATGGTGGTATAAATGTGGGATAATTATTTCATTTGTAATGAAATGAAATAAGTATGGTGGTAATTTGGCATACAATATTTTTTAAATAGGTAACATTAAAAATAAATAAAAGTTTTTAATACAATTGATTGTATTCACTAAAAAATTACCATGATATCCATAATTTGCCATTCCAAATTAAGTATTATCGGTGGTGATTTCACACACACACACACACACACACATATATATATATATAATATGATGGTAACACTAGAATAAAAATAAAATATAAAATAGCAGTTATTTTTGTATTGTATTTTGTAAGTCAATACAAAATATATATATATATAGTTAGCTAATTTGCCATTCCAAATATGGTAATTTGTTTTGTGTTTGTTTTTTAAAATAAAATAAAACAGAACAAAAATTAAACGGATTAACTGAAAAATATTCTGAAAGCTTCTTCCATTGTGTACATCCCATATTGATTTCTACTTTCAAACAATATTTATTTTATTATTATTTTTGTTGTTGCAGTGTTATTGATATTTTATATTCATGATGAATTCTAAACCACATGTCCCAGATTTAGTAAGATTAATTTATTGGTGAAGGAATTGGAGTTGGTATTTTCAAAAGCAAGCTCAGAGTAATTTGAAATATTCTTACAGTAACATAATTTAACATTTAACATAAAATAACAGAAATCTTCAAATCTAATAGGTGTCAGAAAATCAACAGGTGATATAATGTCACAATACATACAAATTCGTGGATGGAATTTATGCAAATAAATAAAATTTGTCATTGGAAAGGAAATAATCATACTAATCATTTTCACACGAAAACAATGATACAATGTGTTAAACCTGAGAAACATATTACATATTGCAACATATTACATGGGAGACCGTTATTGTTTTTGTGTGTCTGCACACGTGTGAGTAGGTAAAACATATGGTACCATCTATTTCTCTTCCTGAGATCTCACTCAGGGTGCTTTTGATTGAGTCTCAACCTGAATTTGTTTCCCTCCCCTTCCATCTCTGATCTACTTTCTCACTCAGTTCTGTTGTGCTGCACTGTGGTGCATTTACAAAATACATTACCAGCAGCTGTTAGCCAGTGTTGCATGAGAACATGACTTCAATCTCACAATATTAACTTCTCCTTTTTGTTTCGTTGGTACCTATCTGCTGTGCATACATTCATACTTCACATGGAGAGAACGCAAGCAGCTCACATAAGGTTTTAGAAGACAAACACTATTAGGAGGTTTACTGACTGATGAATGTGCAACTTTCCCTCATTAATATACATAAGCAATAGTGGTTCACTTCCAGAACACACTGCTTTAACATCAACTTCAAAGTCTACTGAAGTTCACATGAAGCAAACCTCTGACTGCATGGATGCAACTTCAGGAAACGCTAGCCTGAAAATGCCCTCAGATCCTGCAACCTCAGCATCCAACTCTGAATATTTTTTTCTTGCACTCGTAAACTCTTCTTCCATGTCTATGTTTTTTTAGTCCATAGTCTTATCACTCCATGCCAGGGATTTCCTCTTGGCCAGCTCCATCCAGGATGGTTGGGCAGTGTCACGGACAGACTGCAGAGGAGATGATGATGGTGATGATGAAGGTGATGATGGTGGCGTTGATTTCTGCTGCCATTTATCCTCTCTGTCTGCTGACCTCGTGGGAACAGGAGAGACTGATGCTTCTAGAAATATCGACACCATATATGAGCATATACTTCAATTGTAGCTGTCATGTAAAACTGATATTGTGTAACCCACTTACGCATTGACAAACTTGAGTCGAATCCTGTGCCTGTGCCTGAGAGCTTTGAGATCGGTCTGAGAGGAGCTGTAGATTGAGATGTGGTTTGGGACTCTGCTGTGGACTTCGACTCACCTGTCTATCAAAATTAGTAAAGAGGAAATCTGAAACAATTGACAAAGCAAAACACCACAAACAGAACATACTGTACTAGATATTATGAGCAAATAGTACACGTGTCCCCCCGTAAAGAGTCCTTTATTTTAATTTATAAATGTATGATTCATATTAATAATTAAAACTCAAAAGTCAACATGGCTTACAAATATCCAAGGGATAAGACACCATGTGGTATTTTTTTTTCTTGTTTAAAAAAATAATAATGCATCGCAGCTGACACGTTCTGAAGTAGAACATCCATCTCTCTTAGTTCATTGTCTGCATATTCTGGTTCGAATAAGTAAGGATGAAGTCATGTCGAAATCTTCAGACATGTTTACAAAGACTGTTTTATGTGCATCTTCCTCTGCTTGTAAACAAGGCGCAGCGCATTCGGGTTCCACGTCAGAATGCTGGCTGCTGCATCAGCAGCACCACACACATGCGCCATGGTACTGTTGTGAACGTGCATTAAAGACTGACACAGAAGAAGAAATTGTTGAATAAAGTCATTATTTTTGTTTTCTTTGCGCACAAAAAGTATTCTCGTAGCGTCATAAGATTATGGTTGAACCCCTGATGTCACATGGACTATTTTAATGATGTCCTTGCTACCTTTCAGGGCCTTGAATGATTCAGTTGAGTTGCTGTCTATGCAGGGTCAGAAAGCTCTCGGATTTCATCAAAAATATCTTAATTTGTGTTCTGAAGATGAATGAAGGTCTCACGGCTTTGGAACGACATGAGGGTGAGCAATTAATGACAGAATTTTCATTTTTGGGAGAACTATCCCTGTAAGTAAGAATGCATTATATTGATGAAAAGTGACAGTAAAGACATTTATAATGCAACAAACGTTTTCGATTTTAAATAAATGCCGTTCTTTTGAACTTTCCAATCATCAAAGAATACTGAAAAAAAAGTATCACGGCTTCCACCAAAATAAGCTGCACAACTGTTTTCATGGTAGTGTACTGTAAATAATATCACTGAGCATTTTTTTTTTACCTGAAACAAGTTCAGTAATTTGAAATAACATTTATATTTTAAAAATCCCATTTTTCAGTTAAGTCATACACTAATTAGTATTATAATATTCCCGGATCTCACAGCAAACCAATTTTGTATGATAGCTACCTGCATCAGTATTAGCATTTGTTATTTGTGTTAACTTTTCACCAACATCCAAGAAATAAAGTAAAAACATAACATAAATGTGATATTAGTTGAATTTACAAACTAAAAAATGTTATATTACGGACATGAACACATGTTTAATTCTGTCGTGTGACCCCCACATGTATTTACCCTAAAGTCATTTTTCTGGACAAAAATGTGCTTCCAAACTAGTTTCGAAGTATTGAAATAGAATTTGTGTGCTAAAGTTAAACAAAAAAGATTATTGACACTTGTGAAATTTGATTGATAATTAGCATTTCCATCTGCTAAATCAGTAAACATTTTGATGCTCTAAACATTTTTTTGCAAGACACAGATGGAAACTTGACTAGTGTGAAACAATCACTCCTTTTTCTGAGGCTGAAGTAGGTGTCCTTTCTCTGGTTTATATATGACTGAATAAACTGAGTGTGTTTGGAGATTAAATAAACAATAATACCTTGGTTGCAGCAGTTGTTTGGTTCTCCCAGCGCTGTAAGAGCGAGGTCTTGTTTCCTAATCCTGCTGCCCACACTGGTCTGCCATCTTCAGGCCCGGTCCCTTTCCCCTGAGACGTAGACGCCCTGTCAGCTTTCCCTGAGATTACACTGGGCTCTCCCCCCTCATTCTGAGGCTGATCCTTTGAGACAGTATTGGCAGACGGTTGGGACGTTAACTCTGGGCTTGACGACAGATGTGGGTAACCTGGGGGTGCTGTGGGACTCAGTATAGCTTGTGTGGGGGTCTGTGATGCTGCTCGCAGTGGTGATGACGGCTGGATGGGTGGTGCCTGTGGTGCCAATGCTTGTGATGGCTGTTTTGCTGTGTTTATAGCAGTGGATTGCACATTCAATGTGCATGTAACTGTAGACTGGGTTGGTTTTGTTGTTGAATTAAACATTTGAGTCTTGGACTGAAACTGGACTTCTCTGGTACTGTCAATCTGAGTCTGATTTGAATTTGAAGGTTGGTTTGTTGTTGTTCCAGTCTGAGTTTGCATCAACTGAGTGGCAGATTGTGTGGATCTTCCAGAATGCTGTGCAGATGGCAGCGGTTTTGTTTCTGTAGGTCTCAAAAGAGGTTGTGAAGTCATCGGCTGGCTTGAAATGTTCTGTGTGATTCTTGGACTGGCTTGTGAAGTGGATGTTTGGGTTTGTGGTTGTGTTGTAGTCAAGGTTGTTGGTCGAGATTGCAAGCTAGGAAACTCAGGCAGTCTACTGGTAAATAGCTGTTGGAGACTTCTGGTCTTCTCTCTTGCCATCTCCATCCAGGACACCTCTGAAGCAGTAGATGTTGGTGGGTTCCCCTGAGAGGATACCGCTTTAGTCTCTTCTGGAGGCAAGCCTGTACCTTCTTTAGCTGGTGAAGGTACAATCTTAGTGGATTTGCTGGCTGATGATGAGGGCTGAGGAGGTTCTGAAAATGCAGAATATTTATTTATCAAAATACCATTCATCTTAGTTGACCAATCGAAAGCAGTGACTTCTCTGTGAGCTGTGTTTCATGCATCACAATACTATTGATAATGGACAGAGGACCATTTTTGATCACAAAATTTTGCTAATGTGCATGCATCTTGTAAGTTGTTGTAGCACCATTTTTTGTTTAGTATTGCTATTAAAAAAATAAACAATTAGTGAATTGTAACCTTTATGAAAATTAACCATGGATTTACTACAAATAAAACCAAAAAAACATGGTTATTTTATTTAAACCATGGTTAACACAAATTAACCATGGTTTGGCTACACTAACCATAGTTTAGCCATGGTATTTGTAGTAAAACTGTGGTTCTATCATGACAACTCTCAGAAGATTTTAGC